GGAGTACTGGACAGCCAGCTGTTTCGTCAGTCTAGTTTGGGACTATTATTTAGCAGTACGCACCCAACGACAGGATTCGAACCGAGGACCTTCTAGCTAACTTCTGTCAATTCACGACATAGCTCAACCATTTCGCAATGTCTTCTTCGATGAGTTACTGCCTCATTTTCAACCTGCTGTACTTTACTGGTCACAGCTTCCCAAAAGAACCCCAGGTAACCAGAAGGTATTGGGTTCGAACCCTGCCTGTGGGTGGGTGCGTACTGCTGAATAAGAGTCCCAAATCAGGTTGATTCTGTAACCAATCTCAGCTCGTGATGAAATCCTGTAACCAATCAGTCAAATCCCTGCAATCCAATACTTGAATATTTTGTATTACTATAACAATAATTATTATAGTCACGATAATTATAATAAAACTGTAAGACGTGTATTTGTTTTACTCCACACTTTTATACTCATATTACTGACTAAATTAATTCGTCTCACTTGTACGCATCGTTGTTTTCATTATGAGTTTAATCAATGCCACTTAGAAAAATGCTGTTTAGTTTAGTAAAGCATTGCGTCTTGAGATTGACTGGTATGTGTTATTCCACTAAACATTCAAAAAAACATGCCAGTTATCATTTCCATTGTCAATTAAAAGCATTCATCAATATGCTTTTATTAGATTTATATATTGAAACGTATATTGATTTATGAAAGAAAGCATAGAAATGTTTATATATTCATAGGATAAAATATATAACTGTATATATACGTTTTTTAAACTGGAAATCCCTTCATTAGTTGTTATGAAAGAAAATGAATTGGTTTGAGTGAGACATTCATTTATAGTAATGACAGAGACTGTTTCAGCCTGCCGTCGTTAACTTCAGCGTCCTTGAGTCCTAACTTCTGTCAGTTCACGACATAGCTCAACCATTTCACAATGTTTTCTTCGATGAGTTACTGCCTCATCTTCAGTTTGTTGTACCCAACTGGTCACGGCTTCCCACTAGATCCCCAGGTAACCAGAAAGTCTTGGGCTCGAACCCTGTCTGTAGGTGCGTAGAGCTGAAGATTCCCAAACCAGGCCGACAATACGGCTGTTTAGTACTCCTAGTTGGTTTTCCAATGATTCTTTAACTGATGTCAGCTCATGATGAAATCCTCCATCCACTTAAACAAAATCCCTACAAAAAATCAATACTTGAAAATTTCACTGTTTTCTCTAACTGATGTTTGTTCGTAACGATATCTGTACAAAGTTCTCTCATTCAATTATCACTCTGCAACTCATTGATGGCTCCTAATGTATGGATGTCCTGAGGTTGTGCTGAGAAGTCGTTACCCATGGGATCTGTGAATGTCTAGGTGAATCGGTTACTAATATAAGGCACTGATTGGGGGTAAATGAATATTCCTCATCCATACCTAAACGAAAACAAAGCACTTAGTTCAGCGAAGAAAGTCTTTTCCTGAGAATTCGTTTTACACTTTAGTTGTACATTTATTCATTTTTATATACAATAGTTTCATGAAAGAGGGTGATAACAAAAGTCATGCATTTTCATAATCATAGTTGTCATTGTTAGTCAGTGTCTAATAAGAGATGAATAAGTGTATGTTGCGTTACATAATAAGATGAATAATTTAGCAAATGATTTGTGTGCATCGGTTGATAACTGCTACCTTGTCATGGTGCCCGGGCTTGAATACCGTAATGACCCAACATGCTAAACTGACTGGGACTCTGTCCCTGCAGGTCCTACCATGTCAGGAAGGTTGTTTGGATAGCGGTTAAACAAAAAGCAGTTACCATGGGGTACATGGGCTCCAGTATCCAATCGGATCAAATGGCGTATGAACCCATATGGGTCACCGAAAAACATGAGAATGCAGCTCCTGACGCTACTCTGTTGCCTTGTGGATTAGACTTCAAGTCAAAGGCTCGGCGGGTGGTCCCTTAATAAAACCACCTGCTTCGGTCTGGGCGCCCGGGAAGTATCTCAGCCCTCACACAATGAATTGAATAAAGCAACAAACAATCAATAAAACTTATCGCGTGCTATTACATATGTTGCAATTTCCTTCTTTCTTCCCTTCCCGATGATAGTTAACAAATACTGTTTGAACTTGTTAAGCATTACTATTTTCCTTCCAGATGAAGTTCTTTATCCGTTCTCTACTTATATACATATATATTTCTTTTCTTTCTTTTTTCTTTTGATCTGTGCTGTTTTTATTATTATTGTTTGTCGCATCCTTCTTGATGCCATACTGTACCAAGTTTTTATGCGTTTAAATAAATAAATAAATAAATGTGTGCATCGATGTCACAGTGGTTAGGACTCTCGCCGACCATTGATATGATCCGGGGTTCGATCTCCTGCCGACGTACACTCGGTATCAATGATCGACCTTAAAAATTTTGGGCTACCGATATCGCATGCTGAAAATTCTTTACATCTACTAAAGAAAAGGTAGTGTGTAGAATCAAGCTGCAATCGAAAAAAAACCCAGGACGCAGATAGGAATGGAGCGAAATATTGAGGTAATTAAGACAGAAAGAAATGCGAAGGCTACAAATAGTTAGACAACATACAAACAAATTCAAGTTAACCTTGTTGATTCCCACTGCCTGACTTGAATTTTGTTTGTTTGTTTTCTCTAACCCCTTTGTAACTTTTATATTTCCTTAAGACTCTCACGTAACTTCATGTTTTCCTTCATGTTTACGTGCATTCTGATAATAACTCATTTCATACATTTGGTTCCCTTGATAAATTTTGATAGAGAAAGAAAGACCAGATTTGCAGGATAAAAAGGGATCTCATTATTCTATTTCGCAAGTTCCCCTCATCAGCTAACTGCGAACTACCTGAAATTACAATGTTTATAAACAATGACATTTCATACTTCAATATTTGAAAGGTAATAATAATATCCGGTTTTCAGAGCATATTCCGAGAAACTTATGCTTAAAAAGAAGCTGGTAGTCAATCTCTCACTGTCTTGGTAACCATATCACTTTCATTACACTGATTAGTCATACACACTAGTGGTCTCAACTCACTAAGCAAGTTTTCAAATTGATGAACTTTGACCTTCTTGAGTTGACATGTTGACACTGTTTAGTAGATTTTTCTGTTCTCTGTCTTCTCTCACCCCCCTATTTTCATAGGTTGATAGCATATAAATTGATGGTGACTAAAACTATAAATTGTAATACTTATGTTCCATATGCGTTCACCTTATAAAGTTTTCGCTATTACCTTTCAAACATTGAAGTATAAAAATGTAATTACTTATAACCATTGTAATTTCAGGTAGTTTGCAGTTAGCTGATGAGAACCTGTGAAATAGAATGATGATATCATTTTATACTGCAAATCTGGTCTTTCTCTATCGAAACAAATAATTTGTCAAGTTATTCATTATGTTACGTAACTCCAGTATATTTATTCAACTCATTTTATGCATTGACTAACATTAACAAGCATAATTACAACAGCTCATCAGTTTTTGTGCATACATGTGACTGTAAAGGTCAAGAAAATGGATTGATTCACTAGGAACAGCCTCTTTGCTGAACTAAGTGTTTTTTCCGTAGCTCTATGTCACAAATAGACAAAGTTAGAATCCATGTCTCATTAAATTTCATCCGTAGTGGCTTAATAGTCCATGAGCTTGGTTTCTTAACAAGAAGGTCAGGGGTTTTCCATACCTAGCACTGGTGAAGCGTCTCAAACTTGACCAAAACATCTATCCTGTGCCTCCTGGTTATCAGGGATTTCTCTAAATGATTTTACTTTGTGAAATTTAATTAATTTTTAGAATAACTTGACTGTTTATTAGAATTTGATTAGTGGAGGATGGTGACTAACAGTGGAGTCCAGGATAACGCGCTTTTCGTCTTATTTAGGACACATGGTCAGCTGGATGCGCCTGCATACCCCAGTGAGTGGTGATGATGTTTCCGCCGAGGCTCGAACCCAGTGCTTCCATAGTCATCATCCAGCTATTAAATTCGAATTACGTGTCAAGGCATCGTCGAGGCATCTGCACAAGAAGCCGATAGACATGTCAACTTGAGACCGTGAAGCATTTCGGTCCAATCAGTCGACGGGAAAATCTAAAATTCAATTAAATAACTTGACTGTTTATTGTTCAAATAGTGGATATAACGGCTAAGTTCAACAATAGCATCCCAGGAGTGAGAACGCTCAAATGACTTTGAACGCATGCTAGTCGTCGGCTGACGGCACCTACCATTATCATATCTGAAATATCAACGTTATTGACCAACTAAGCAGCAAATTTCACTCAGGTCACTTTTTTAAGTACTGTTTCGCCAATGTATTAATAGCTCGTTAGGGTTAGGATTAGGGTTAAGGTAAGTATTGGGGTTAGGGTTAGGATCAGGGTCATAATTAGGATTAGGGTCAGGTTTGCAATTAGGATAAGGTTTGCCATTAGGGTCAGGATTAAGGTTAGAGTTACGACTGGGGATAGATATGGAGTTGATGTCATCTGTTTTATTTATTTTTTTTATCCACATTTCCCTGGTAAATGGTCGTCGATCCTATTTCTGGAAACCACAGAAATTCAACCGAGGGCTTTTGACGAAGATTGAACAATGGGATAAGAGAGATGAATGATTCACGACAACAGTTCACCTTATTTCACCTCTGTGAATAGATGTACAGAAACTAGTCTAACTTAGAAACTGAAACTCCTCATTATAACTTGGACGTATTTTTAAGCCATGCCAGAAAAAGATACCCTGTTTAGTGTGTTTTCATGAATTTTCTTGTAAATATACGTCAATTTTTGTGTAAAAATTCCTCATTTTTATGAATGGTCGACTGATGTGATGGTCACTTGTGCATTCGCATCCTTTAGGACGCTATTGTTGAACTTTGCCGATATAACAGTATCTATCGCTTTTCATCACTTCTATACGCTTTTTTTTCTTTTTCTCTTTTTGTTTTATTTTTCCGTACTTCTCAAAGGATCTACGCATCATGCTGTGACCAGTTCATTATCGCATCCAGAAATTTCTAAAGCAAATTTATTGCCCAACAGGTATTCAGTTATACCTCAGACTACATTAAATAATAATAGTGATAATAATAATAATGATAGTAACAGCAATAACAATTACAATAATCCTGTGTATAATGTTAGTAATATGATCAACCAGTCAAAATGTTGTATTATACCTTCGTCTTTAACAGATTACAGTATTTCAAAAAATAATTTTGAGCTACAGATGAATCAGGATCATTCACTTGTGAATCATGTAAGTAGTATATGCGTATTTGTTGTAAAATATCTTTTCAAAAAAAAAACAACGTTTGTGAGTATTTATTGGGTTTGTTTTTTCTTTTGTTTGAATATGTTAATTTTCAATATTATACGCATGTAATATTTTTGAAAAAAATAATTAGGAAAAACACCGTTTTAACGGAAAAACTGCTCTCTTTTTTAATGACTTTCGTATCACAGATATCAGAGGCTAGTATATATGTGTATATATTATTAATAGCAGGATTTATTGCGTAATACTTTATCTTCGTCCGGCACCTTTAAGTAAAATAGTTATTGATAGTAGGTTGTATGTCCTAGAAGAGCGATCCAGTCTGTCATAACTTTTCCTGTCTACTTCCTTATAAAAAATGGTTGGTAGCTAACTAAAAAAATGCACGAGTAAATTTTGCAATGTGACTGAACAGTTGAAAACCTCGTAAGATTTAGATATGATGGAGAAGATTTGTAGCTCAGGTGGATGATTTTTATGTAGTTGTGTTCTCTAAGCTGGATAGTTAATCTGAGGAGCTTTCATTGCCCCCCCCCCAACCAGGCAACATCTTCAAAGCATACTTCAATTCGTTGAAGTGAGCTTGTAGATTTCTCCACGAGTTGACTAATCATCTCTCTTAGTGGTAACCTTGAACGTAATTGGTTGTTTTTGTGTGTTTTCACACTCTCTAAGCAGCTACTTGTATTGGAACTGATTGTTTCTTTGACTTGAACTTTGACACTTTGTGTGTCAGATTACTTTCTTGTCGGTTGATAAATTTTGTTTATCTCGATTTGTCTATTGATTGACGATTCACTGAAATACCACGCTGGCTTTTAAAAATTCTCTAGCATTCTTGGTGTTTCCTCTGTCTAATATTTAAAGGCTGGTTGTCCTAGTCGAATTGATGTTCGTAGTTGTCTGTATTTAGTGATATAAGTAATGGAGTGGATGCCATGTCTTTTGACGGCTAGTTTATTTTTTTGGATACGATGACGAAGGGGACGTCCACTTTGACCAGTATAGTGTTTGTTACATTACACACAAAAACAACCAATTACGTTCAAGGTTACCACTAAGAGAGATGACTAGTCAACTCGTGGAGAAATCTACAAGCTCACTTCAACGAATTGAAGTATGCTTTGAAGATGTTGCCTGGTTGGGGGGGGGCAATGAAAGCTCCTCAGATTAACTATCCAGCTTAGAGAACACAACTACATCAAAATTGAAAACCTCAGGTAGTTAGGTCTAATCGTAATGAAAGTGTTAGGAGCAGTCATCTCACCTATCGGTATACGTTATCATTCACCCCGGATTATTCTGTTTCCCATCTTTAATAGGAGCTCGTGTGTCTGCAGACTATAAACATTTGAAATATTCACTGAACTAAACACTGTGACATTAGAGGTCAGATTTTTCTTAGATTTAAACAAGGTGAACACGCAAAACCACAGGCAGTACGAAGATGGAGGCTTTTAGTAGCCCAAGTTATAGAAAAGAAGAGAAGTGTCATTGGTTCGCCAGTAGAATGCTAGCTAACCTTGCGCGTAGTCTGGGCTGCATATCTCTGCTGACGCCCACTCAGCCCAGAGTAACCTTGATAAAGAACTAAAGTTGGGTGTAGGGCTAGCGACTGAAGCCCATAGCGCTAGGGTCGCGCTATGTCGTGAATTAGCAGAAGTTAGTATTCATAGACCATTGGATCGGGTCCCAGTGGCTTAATGGTATACGAGATCGCCTTGTAACCAGAATGTCCTCGGTTCGAATCCCGTTGGGTGCGCACTGCTGAAGAGTCCCAAATCAGGCTGACGAAACAGCTGTCGAGTACACCTAGGTTTTTTCAACGGCTGTCTAACTGATGTTGGCTCATGATGAAATCCTGTGACCAAAAAAACCTTTACTGCTGAAAGAAAAAAGCTCAAGCTTGATGCCCTATGTTCTACTTGGGACGAGCAAAGGAATAAAATTAAAAAAATATGGAAAAAAGGGAATGACAGAGCAATCAAAAGAACAAGATACTCTGAAAACTTTTCCTTAGGGAACAATAATTCAAGTTCGTATTCACTGTAAATTGCAAATTTCAGTTCTGGCTGAGGATGAGGTGACTTAAAAAGTTTTTGGCTCCATAGAGATTTTATTAGGATACACATTCTTCATAGTTTAAATACACCACTCAGAGTCTGTACGGAGAACTTGTTAGTGTGAACTGAGTTTATGTTTAATGGTTACTTAGTAGCTTATGTCGAGAAAATTTTTGACGTACATAGAGTTAGTCAACTGAGGCATGTCGTTATTCAGGTTATTGAAAGGTCTACCGTAAATGAACTTTGAATTCGAAGATGACTTAGTTGCTGACATCCATAAAAGAGGGATTTCACACTCCCTGAAAAGGAACATTCGCTGCAGCATCATCTTTTTGAGAATAGTCTTTTCTGGTCGACCATTACTGTTCAATATAACCCGAAGAGACAAAATCCTGCAGTTGACCAACTCTATGTGGGTTTATCAATTCACCTGTTCTTGTGAAGCTACGAAAATCGGTTGTCTTATTCGGCTTTTATTCAAGAGGGGAAAGGATACTATCATTCATGGTTAAGAAGAGGTGAACAAGGCTATAGGAAGTGTAATACTTGAGCATTCGGTCAATATACTGGTCACCTTTGAAGTTATTTAAAAGACAAAAATAACCAACCTATCGAAATCATTGCGTATATTCGACTCATCCGTTATCATGAAGCTTCGGCCATGGGAATAGAAAAGCCAGATATATGTCTTCAGAAAAATGCTTGTTCAATCACTCTTCTTTCGTAGTCTTAATTTGTATATGCTAAAGGATGATGATCCCTGTTCATTATTATTATTTCCTTTAATTCCTAGAGGAACATAAGGCTTCAGCCGAACGTCTCCATTGCGTTCGGTTCTCTGCTAGAGTTTTCACTTGGCTCCAAGTCTGCCCACATGCTTTCATCTCCTCTTTACATCCCTTCCTCCATGTCACTCTTACACTGACCACCAACTCGCCGCTTCCCTTTCGGGTTCCACTCGAGCAATGGCTTGTCTGTGATGTTACTTGATGCTTTGTTTTCTAAGAGTATGACCAATCCATCTCCATTCCTTCCTGCCTATTTGTTGCATAATCAATTTAAGGTTGGTTCGCTCCCGGAGATCCCTATTGCTGATCTTTTCTGGCCGGCCATATGATCTTGAGTATTGAGCGAAGACAGCTGTTAATGAAGGTCTCCAGTTTGTTGGATGTGCTCTTCATAACGTGCAGTGCAAGTCTCTGATCCGTACAGTGAGTAGCACTGGCTTCACATTGGAGTTGAGAATCTGGATTTTATTTTCATTTTCATGCTGAGTGTTGTTGACCTTCTGCACACAGACTTGAGAGTGATGAAAGCTTGTGTTGCTTTCCCGATCCTCTCTTGGATATCCTCGTCAGTTCCGTCCACCTGTAGTTGAAACGATGCTTCTCTGGTAGGTGGATAGGTGAAGGAGGTTGTTTCTTTTAGGTTCCTCCCATTTATGCTGACTGATTGTTGTCTGTTGCTGTTGCTGTTGGCCATGAATCTTCATCACCTCTGTTTTATCTATGTTCACCTGAAGGAAGTCCTATCTTTCTTGCTTCTTCTTATGACAGTTTGTTACTTTTCACTTGCATATCTTCCAGTTTGTGTGAAATCACACAAATATCATCGGCGAAATCCAGATCCTCCAAGACTTTTGTGTGAGTCCATTTTATGCCTGTTCCCTCGTTGCCCACTGTGATCTCTATTCACACTTTGACCTTACTTATTTTTCAGTTTGTTTATTCAGTTTGAAGATCTTCCAGTATTATGTGACGTGCCACCCTTATTTATGAAATTAAACATAGTTTTTGCAATGTGATCTTATTATAATTATTATCAACTTGCTGTGTAATGTTTTAAATGCTGACTAATCTTATTATTACTACACCGCCTTTGAGATTCTTACATTTCAATATGGTGAAAGTATTCATTCAGACATTTATAAAACACAAAATAATTGTGCAAAGAATATGCTTTTCGATAATGTCCTCTTCTGGCTTTACAATTAAATATAATATATATATGTTTATATACATAGAAAATGCTAGAATAGTAACCAATAACAGTATGATCAATGGAATCACAGTTCATTAAAGATGCTTAAATTATATTAATAATAAAGATATAATAGCAAATGGAATATCAAATAAAATTAAGGAAATTTCTACAAAAATTTGAGACCATCCAAACCTAGATGGCCAAGTGGTAAGGATAATGTCTGGACTAACTTCTTTTGGACACACAAATTAGGCTCCTTGATGTGGATCCCAACAGTCTCAACAATATTTAGAAGTCGAACTCTTATGACGAAATGGAGGTTAGTTAGTATGAGGTAAATGACTCTGAAAGCTTGGTTAACATCAATCTTGTGTTCTGTGTCCACAAGATCAGATAGAATATATTTTGTTTGCCCTTTACTTAACCATACAGGGTGATGTTTGGAAATCCGACGCGAAACACATCTGAAAGTATGGCCTAAGCAGCTAAATGGCTCCACAGGAGCAGTTAATTTGGTAGATACACATTATAGAGGCGAAATTAGGCAGTTTGTCTTTTACTCCTGAATGGTTTTACATTTCATGAGGATAATTTACAAAAAGTACGTCACCAATTTGTAAAAAATTATATTTGTAAAATCTCAGCGATATTGAAATCAGCAATTCCAACGTTTCGTTCGGCAATCTGGTTCGAACTTCTTCAGGGAAATTAATCGAAATTAACAGAACACGGGTTTATATATAAAAGGAACATCTTTAGTTTTAAAAAACTTTGTCCAGTCATGATTTATAAAACAGGTATAATAAACAAAATTGTACGAGTTGTGATCAAAATTTGACCTCAGACTTACAAATATTGATCTACCTTTGTTAAACACTTTAAACACAGTGTGTATGTGTGTGTGTGTGGCTGAGATTTTACAAATGTAATTTT